TGTCTGTTTCCCATTTGGATGCAAGGTAATCACACCAGGATGAAGACTTGCACTTGACTTCATAAGGAGCTAGCGTTTTGGGGAGAAAGGCCTCCTTTTTCGGAAATCCAGGACTGTGCAAACTTGCCAGGGCCTGCGGGCTGGCCTTGGGCAGGGGTTTTCAAACGGTTTCCACACTGAATACTTTTTGCAAACAAAGCCTTACCTGAGGCCATTATATAAAACAGGTGGAAACTGAGCTGCTTGGGGCTAAGTGGAGCCTGTTGAAGGCCCTGGGAGTGGGGACCAGAGTCCCCTTCCCCCTGTAGCTCTAGGTTCTGGGGAGATGGGCGTTGGGGTTGAGGTTGGTCCTGGCGGTGGGATGGGGCAGCCAGGAGAGAGGGAGAGTCCTGGGGAGAGTCCAGTGGCTGATATTTACTAACTGGTACAGAAGGGTTTCAATATTTTCACAACTGCGTATTCATGCCAGTGTGGCTGGGCCAACAAATTCATCTTTCAGAGCAAGAAGTCAGTCTATATAAATAAAATTGAAAATATGTCCTTGGAAAAAATCATGACTTCAACCTTTAATGTTCTCACAGTTTCTTCTTCTTTTCTTAATCTTGAAGGGATATTTTAGGGGAAGTATCTCTTGTCTAGAGGAAATATTTATTTGAATTCAGCAATTCCGTCAACTTCTCTTTCTTTTGTGAAATTCAAGTAAAATTAAAATTGTATCTGAAATATGATTAAGGTTTTATAAAAGTATCTCTACCCCCCCCCCAAAAAAAAACACCCACAAAACAAAACATCGAAGTTGGAATTGGGATCAGGATTCTAATCCTGGTTCTGCCCCCAACTCTTGCCCTGCAGGGAGGGCTTGCAATAGCGCTCTCTTGTGGACATTTTGAGAACAGCAGCCTAGTAAGGGAGGAGTTGCAATAGTGCCCTCTTGTGGATATTCTGTGAACAGCACCATAGTAGGATTAGTTGCAATGGTGCCCTCTTGTCAGACATTCTGGGAATAGCACCCTGGTAATGAATTCTACTAGTCTGAAAAGAAAATATACATTCATAGAGCTAGAGCAGTGGTCACCAAGCGGTGGTCCGTGAGGTCCGAAAGACTCTTGCTCTTACAGGGAGGAGTTGCAACAGTGCCCTCTTGTGGACATGCTGAGAACAGCACCCTAGTAAGGGATTAGTTGCAATAGTGCCCTCTTGTGCCAGCCAGGTGCAAGCGAGGTCTTGATAACCAGGCAAAAGGCTCTGGTCCCCAGGCATGATAGATTATGCTATAACATTTGGAAGACACAAGAAATAGGTATTTCTTCCCCCTTCCTCACCCCTATGCTCCTTAGATGGCATGCGTTCATCTCTCTGGCCCTTCTTGTTTGCCAAGCCAACAAGACTGTTGGGCAGCAGCCAAGTCCAGGTTCTCCATACTGCCTAGAACCCATCTGTGGGCCACGCGGTACTGAAGGGATTGAGTGCAGAGCCTGCCCCAAGAGCCAGTGCACAGGGGCAGAGCAGGGCCCTCCAGGGGCAGCCTCCCTCCCCTCCATGTTCTACAGGAGCCATCAAATGAAGACGCAGAAACAGACACCCTTGCCCCCACCCAACCCCAATTGCTCTACAAAGAAACCGGGTGGGATTGCCAGTGTCAGGGATTAGTTATGCCATCTCCCCAAGGAAATGTTGGCCTCTGAGTCCCTTTCGTGGCCAAATTGCAGGGGTCAATGCTGTGCAGCAGAGGGAGTGTGCAGAGTTTGGGCAGGTGATTTAGCACTCAAGGCCTCATCCACAACCATCACACACCCTCTACCAGTTGTAACAAGTATTTGCCTACAACAAATAGGAGTATGCCTTTGTTTCAGAGATTCTCTTGGTTGGGAAGCAGAAAAGGGCCTTCACTCCCTAACATCTGGAGCTGAAAGGAGGACCATGCATTTGGATAGTGGGGGGTGGGTGGGGTATGTGTGATCAGAGGGGGATGACCTCAAATAGATGAATATACCTTCAGGAGAAAAGACTCCGACAAGGAATAAAGACCAGCCAGGTCCACAGGCTTGAGAAGAGAGTGAGGGAGGGTGCAGGAGAGGGTAGAATCTAGAAGACCAGTGTTCAAGCAAGGCTCTCCAAATAGGATACTGTACAGGGTAGAGCCCTATTATTTCTGAACTGGAATGACCTCTGTACACACGAGGAAACAGAGGGTTTTTGGAGTTCACAGCTTGCCCAACATCCCAGCGTGGGCTTGGAGAGAATTTAAGGACTGAGATAAGAATTTGGGACCCCTATCTTTCTGTTCAGATCTCTGATCCTGTCCCAGCTGCCTTCCTCATCACCTACTCCCTCTCTCCATCTTTCAGCAGTCCAGGTTCTGCTGCCCCAGGTTGTTCTCCCAGATGTTACTGGTGACCACAGCGACCTGTTATTTTTATGTCAAATCTTATGCTTCCTGACTCCTCACAGTGATCAACCTTGCTTACAACCTTCTTCTCAAAACCCTCCTTCCTCAGCTTCCTGGTTTTTCTGACCTGCCTCTTATCCTGGTTGCTCTGCAATCCCTTGCAAACTTTTCTTTCTGTGGCCCCTGAGCATGGCCCTTCCCCCTGGCTCTGCCCTTGAGGCCAGGTTCTTGCTCGCTAGTCCTTATCCCCCACCCACTCACGCAGTTTTAATTCCAAGGGTGACATTCCATCCAGGTTCTATGCCTCAGTGCTCTCTTCCACAATGACATAGCCCCCAGGATATCCCATGGGCACCTCGAACTCAACACTTCCAAACTTTAGCTCACCGTTTTCCTTACTCTAATGGCTTTTATTTTGACCTCTTAGATTGCCCTCCTCTAAGACTAAGATTTCAAGATTTTCAATTCCTGAAAAGCCCCTTCTATCCTTCTGCCTCAAATTTAAGGATTTCCTGGTCATCTTCATTCAAATACTTTCTGAGCATATTCTCTGTGTCAGGTTTGGCTCCAAGTGCTGGAAGTGCCATAGTGAAAAAGGCAGGCTTGGATCCTGCCTCTGATGGGCTTAGGGTTGAAAGGAGGAGACACAAATTTAAATAAGTAATTGCACAGAAATATCTATGTAATTTTTACTAAAGAACAGTACAGGTCTGTGACAGTGCGTGATTGTGTGTGTGAGTGTGTATGTGTGTGTGTGTCTAACCTGGTCTAGAGGGCAGAGAAGTCCTGAACCTACGGGGGTAGGTGTAAGGTATAGCAGGTAGCAAGCTCATCTCCTCTTTTGGAATTCCAGGCCTGTGGGAGGCAGAGTAATGCCCTCCCCCACCCCGGAGATGTCTATGGCCTAACCCCTCAAACAGTGGTTCTCAACCTTCCTAATGCTGCGACCCTTTAATACAGTTCCTCATGTTGTGGTGACCCCCAATTTCATTGTTACAAATTGAACATAATTAAAGCATAGTGATTAATCACAAAAACAATATGTAATTATATATGTGTTTTCTGAAGGACTTAGGCGACCCCTGTGAAAGGGTCATTCGACCCCCAAAGGGGTTGCGACCCACAGGTTGAGAACCGCTGCCCTAGAACCTGTGAACATGTTATGTTACACAGAAAAAGAGAATTAAGGTTACAGATGGTCTTAAAGTTGCTGGTCAGCTGACCTTAGAATAGGGAGATTTTCCTGGACTCTCTGGGTAGGACCAATGTCATCCTTAGAATCCTCAAAAGTGGCAGAGGGAGGCAGACGAGGGAGGCAGAGAGAAAGGGGACATCCCGTGAAGCAGGGTCAGAGAGGTGTTCTGTGGCGGCTTTGAAGAGAAGGGGGCCATGAGCCAGTGTCTGTCACCTCTAGAAGCTGAAAAAGACAAGGAAGTAGATTCACTCCTGGAGCCTCCTGCCAGGAACCCTACCTGCCCACCCTTGATTTTAGCCCAGGGCTGCTCATGTTGGACTCCTGCCATGCAGAACCGTGTGATAGTGAATGTCTGACTGTTAGGTCACTAGGTTTGTGGTCATTTGTTTTCTCGGGCAGCAATAGAAAACGAATGACCGGCCTCAACCTGGGCAACCCCATTCCTAAACCCGTTTCGTTTCTTTCTCCTTTGGCCTGACCCTATCGTGCCTTCATCTCGCTCTCTGGACCCACCCTCTGGACCCTGCATTGTTGGAGACCCAAGAGGACAGATGGGTGACAGGAGCCGGCACGGGGAGGGCCAGGCTTTCAGGGAGAGCTCTGCCTCGGGGCTCAGGCCCGCAGGGAACTCGGGGCGTTTTCTCCCTGGCGGCCTCTGAGCAAGATCCAGTTTGTGGCTCGTTTCTTCAGCTCTACCAGGAAGACAACCACGGGTGCGTGCTACCTCACATGCATGAAAGACAAGAAGATAATTATCTCACCCTTCATCATATGACACGATGATTAATATTCATGTGCCGCCAGGAGACCAGGTCCAGGGAGTTACCGAAAGGTCACTGGAGGGTAACCAAGGGCAACGCCAAGCACCCGGGCCAGGTGCCAGGGAAGGTGCCTCTTCCCCTTCTGCCCCCCC